TATTTTATTAATATTTATTGACCAATTGAATTGGAAATTAATAAGTTAATTCCTAATAAATCTCTATTTTAATGGACGGTAGAGATTCATCTTAAGGAAAACTGAATGAAGAATTTAAGTCATCTCTCTACCTATAAATAGATAATTATAGCTTTAACCCATTACAAATACATCATTAGAATACACATCGCCTAAAAAATTAGGTAAGGGAAGAAAAACTTAAACTCCTATTTCAAATACTGGAGGTAATCGGATAAATCTCTCTTTACGATTCTATTATGTGATTATTCATATGTTTAAAAATCTTAGAGTTTATGTAATTTAAATACATTGATAGAATACACATCACCTAAAAAATTAGGTAAGGGAGAAAAACTTAAACTCCTATTTCAAATACTGGAGGTAGTCCTATAAATTTCTCTTTACGATTCTATTATGTGATTATTCAAATGTTTAAAAATCTTAGAGTTTATGTAATTTATGTTTTACAATGAACTCAACTTTTTCGTTTGTAGAACTATTTTTTTGACAGAGTCAGAGTAACCGAACTCACCTCTGTATCTCAGTGCTTGTTGTTGACTCTGGAGTGTGTTGAGATCAAAGAACTGCTTCTAAAAGAAGAAATCTGGAAGAAGTTAGTAAATATATTTTCGTGAGAAATCAGTACTTCTCAAGAAACTCATTCTCCGTTTGAACGATTCTTCTATAGCAAATCAAAATTCTGATATCTTTAATGAGCTTTGTACATTTAAAAAGCCTTCTCAGGAATGTCAGATCATCATTCACTAACAATGTCATTGAAGATCAGTGTAGGGAGAACCTTTTCTTATGAAAAATTGCAATTAGGCATATCATTTTCCATAAGTTGAATTTCTTGTTTTTCCTATTTTTTGGCTTGGTACACACACAAAACTGCTCTGATTAATATAAAATATGTGTCAATTTATTTTATACTAGGTGATCGGCCTGTACCGTGTGCGGGTTATAAAATATTTGATATGTTCAATTATGATTAGTATAGTATTAAAAATACTTTATTTGTATATAATTAATTATGTATTAATAATAAAATTATAAATATTTAATATTAAAAATAATAAATTAAATATAAAACGTTATAGATTTCAAAAGAAAATGAAGATAAAAAAATATTAACTAAGATTTTAACATACTTTATTAGATAAAAAAATGTAAATATGATAACTAAATTAACAAAAAAATTAAAATATATGATAATTTATTTAATTTTTATTTTTGACCTGCACACATGTGCAAGTATAATTTTTTTATAGACATAATTAGTTGTAATATTTATATATTGATTAATGTTTTTTATACATTATGTAAACGTTATGTTTTGATAACATATACAGTTTTAGTGTTCAACAACAATCACATAAATGTTTCCTCTCGTTTTGTGTATTTTAAAATTCTTTATTTTTCCTAGCGTTTACAGTAGCATATAATTACAAATATAAAAGTGATATTAAATAATAATTAACTTTTTATTATATGTTTTGAATATTATCTATACTATTCTTTCTTTCTCTCCTTATACAATATAATCTTGCCAATATATATATTTTAAGTATTTTTTTTCTTTACATATTGCTAATTAAAACAAAATAGATTTTACTATATTTACTTATCCTAAGAGCTAATAGATGGTTGGCCTGCACATTCGTACGTACCAACCACCTCACCGCTCTTAGGACATATAACTTTTTTTTTAAAAATATATAAATTGTCTAACAGCTAAAATTAAAATTAAAGTGTAATCAAAGTTAACAAAATAAATGCACGACAAATTTGCATGATAGTTTGAATTTTACACAATTACTGTAATATTTATATCTACACGCACATTTGTAAGAAAATCGAAGAATGACTTTTATGTGTTAAAAGAAAATAACAAAATATATGTTTTGTAATATATATTTCTATAACGTATGGTTGATGTTTTTTCTAAAAATAATAATAAGTATATTTATGCATGTATGTATGAGTTAGAAATAAGTGAATTGTAATATTGAGGTGTTGGTAAGTTTTTCTGATATTTTTCGCAAACGTTATGTTTTTACACACTGTTATTGTCATTTAACAACAATCACGCAAAACCGTTTCTAATGTTTTGTATTTAATCAAAATTTCTTATTTTTAGCGATTTATGATATATGGTTTCTCAATAAAAATATAATACATATTTATTTGTGAAATCATATTTTATAAAAAATTTCGGTAGCTCTTCGCTCATCTATTCGTCAAATGTTTTATAATCCGCAATCGCTTGCTTCCACAAACTCTCTGTATTGTTTAAGCCAATCGAATCTAAACTTATATGTGTATTATTTAAGGTGTAAAATAATATATTTAATATTTGATTGTTATATTAAAAATTAAGAGTTGATATATTTCTAGTTTTAATATACTTGTTAATATAAAATATAATGGATCACAACATATGCAAAACTTGACTAATGAAATAATATTTTAATATGTTGGAAAAAATATATGCATGAAAGAATTAATACGTGTAAGATAATTTTTTTAAACATTTCAAAAAAAAAAATATAAAATCGATCAAAATTATTCTTATTTATTTTTTTTGTTTTCTTTGACTCATACTTTTTTTTGTTATAAGTAGACTTCTCTCCAACCTATTTCTATTTGACAGAAAAAAGAAAGATTAATATTTTTCCTAATAAAAAAGTAACAACCTTTCGTTTTCTTTTAAATTAGAATATTTAAAATAAATGTGGGTTATAGATGCTTTAAACTAAAAATAAAGCCTGAGATTTTTACATAAATCCAAAGTCATAAAGATTCATTTTTACTTTTATTTCTACTTTTTATTCATATATATATAGTATTATGATAAAAAAAAATTGGCTAAGAGGATACATATAATTTATTTTTTTCTCTGTTTATTTTTTGTTTTATTTATAATTTCGAATGCTTGCTATATAACAAAAATTCATTCACATATGATATAAATATTTTTAAAAGAAAATAAGATTTACTTAGTTTTAACTTAATTAATCAAAATATTTTGTTTATTTTAAAAAATTTGTCATGTCACATTTATGAGGTGACATTGTTTTGTACTAACTTTTCTTTAGGTACTGACACATAATTTTTTTTAGTAAACATGCTTTTCAAATAATAGTTAGGATAGTTATCATTCTTCTTCCTAAATTTTGTTTAAAATTTTTAAATGATCATGGTCTAATAATTTGTCTTGAATTTGTTAAGATCAAAGATCTGATGATGGAGGAAGATATTTTTTGTTGAGAATTCTCTTCTTCTCAAAAAACTAATTCTGCGTTTCACAGGGATAGCTACCAGCGACGGGCTACTCATTCGCCTATGCTTTATTTCTTCTACATCTAATTAAAGTTGTGTCCAGCATCAGCGTCAAGAAATAAAAAGCTCCAAAACTTTAAAACATACACGTGGCAAGTTTAAATTTTCCCAGAAGATTAAGAAGATTTAAGACTAGGGGGTTATTGAAAAAATAATTTATGTAGATTTTGAGAATTTTGAGATTCCATCATTATTGGTTTATTGATTCTTAAAATCTTACTAAAATCAATTGTTATTGGTTTAAAAATTTTAAAATTCCATCCAAAATCATTTGTTATTCAAAAAGTTTGGCTTTTAAAGATTTTGTGATTCTATTAAAATCTTATGTTATTGGGATATAGATTTTAAATAATTTAACTCATAGAACAAGATTTTGGAAGACTTTCAAAATATTGGGTATATGGCTTAGATTCTCAAAGTCATTATAACAAAATATTTTCATAGATTTTTTAAATAAATAAACTCTAGATTTTTTAAATAAATAAATTCTAGATTTTTTAAATAAATAAACTCTTTCCAAATTTAACAAATATTTTTAACAAATTTAACAAATCTCTCAACTCTTAAAATCAATCAGAACTTTATAACTCCATCTCCCAATAACTACTAAGAAGCACTGACTGAAATTGAAATTGGTGTAGTTGCTGTCGTTCAAATTTTCAGCGTGCAGTTTAATTAAATGCAGCGACGGGAAATTGAGTAATTTGCTGTCGCTTCAGTTTCTATGCCTTTCCGCTAGGGGTGGGCGCGGATCGGATATCCGGAAATTTTTTAGTATTTGTGGTTTGCTCCGTTTTTAACGGATATTTAATTTTATGATTTGATTTGCTCCGGAAATATACGGATATCCAGATTTTCGGATATCCGGATTTTCGGATATCCGGAAAATTTACAAGTATTTGCAGATATTTGCGGATATTTACGGATATTTATGAATATTTAGTTTGATCCATTTAATATACACAAAACTGAAAGTACATCAATTTTTATTATAAAAAAATATTTTTCATCTAAACTATTAAGTGAAAATAACTAAAAGAAAATATTTTATTTTATAAAAAAATCTATAAAAAATAAACCTACAAAATTAAGATGAGGAAAAAATAATATTTTATATTTAAAATAATATTAGCTATTTGAAATTTTAATATTAAACTTTACTAAAAAACTTTTGTTGATATTTATTTACTAATATAAAATAAAATGTTATTTATTAACATATTTTAAGTTTAAACATATTATTTATTTTTTATAATTGGTTATTTAGTTATTTATTTTATATAATCAAAAGAACAATTGAAAATTTAGGAAGAAAATTGAGAATATATTAATAAAATTTTATAATATAATTGATATATACATGATAATATATAATAAATTTATAAAGATACAGATCGGATCGAATATCCGGTGTTATCTAAAAATATATTTGTGATTTGCTCTGTTTTGTACGGATATTACATTTTGCTATTTGCTTTGCTCCGAAGCTTTACGGATATCCAGATTTTTTGAATCGGATCGAAGCAAATATCGATTCGAAGTGGATATAACGGATATTTTACCCACCCCTACTTTCCGCAGGTGCTGCATTTATTATATTTTCAATGTATATTTTTTTAGTCGTTCCCGCAGACGCAGCAAAGTCAATAATAACAGCGAAGCAGGGGTAGTCGCCGCCGTCTTCAATCGTAACTGAATGAACTGTTGGCTTTGTATTTTTGTGACACTGCTGTCGCAGAGGCTACATCTCTTAAAAGAACAGAGCCAACCAAACAAGCTTCAGATTTCGTCAAAAGCACATTCACAAAGCGTTCTTGCATTATGTTATTGAAGATTAGTTGTAGGGATTTTGTGTTTGAAAATTGCAGTTAGGCATATAACATTTCGTAGATTTCAACTTACTCTTCTTCAACATCTGTGTTAGTACTTAGAAGCAATTAATTAAACAAAATTACATTAACCAATGATTGCTTTTTATTAACTTTGTCTCTATGCTGACCAAAGAAAAATTAATATTATACTAATTGCTTTGATTAACCTTCCCCTTTGATGTATTTCCAGAAGCAATTACTTCCGGCGAGTCATCAAGTCGACGGTGAGTTCTCCACACTCAGATTTCCCTTTCTCGATGATTATGTATATGTAATTTTGGGATCAATTTGAAACTTTGCTCCTCCTTAAGCGGTAACTGCAACTATAATTCGCCGGCGAGTCAAATCAACGGTGAGTTCCTCGTACCCAGATTTCTCTCTCTCAATTGTATGAAATTTTAGATTTTGGGATCAATTCTGAATCTTTTTCCGCAAATGATTGTTTTTTTGACACTTTAGGATTTCGTATGGGTTTGGATAGGATCAGCGAATTGACTGATTCTCTGCTAACTCAAATTCTCTCGTACCTTCCGACCAAAGATTCAGTGAAGACGAGCGTTTTGTCGACGAGATGGGAATCTCTTTGGCTTAGTGTTCCTGTACTTGACTTAAAGGTCACCGATTTCCCTGACGAAGACTATGCGACCTTCATCGACAATTTCTTGGAGCTTAATCAAAAATCACGATTGCAAAAGTTCAAATTGAAGTATGACGAGTACACCTACGACGATGATCGGCTCTCGGGGTGGGTTTGTACGGCGGTTAATCGTGGAGTCCAACATGTAGACGGTGAAGGTCTTGACACTGATATGTGTATGAGAGAGTTCATGCCTCAGGATATTTATTATAGCAATACATTGGTTTCTTTGAAGCTTGTAACCTTAGGAATCCCGAATCCCGATCTTGCTGTTTCTCTGCCTTGTCTTAAGAAGATGCATTTGGAAGACGTTTGGTATTTTGATGATCCTTTGATAATGGAGAAGGTTATCTCAGGCTGTCCTGCTCTTGAAGATCTTACATTGATCAGGCCTATTGGTTTTTGTGATATAGACGCGATGAAGGTTCTTCGCGTGAGGTCTCAAGCTCTTAAAAGGCTTCTTCTCACGTTTGAGCATAGTGTGAGCTGTACAGATTATTCGGTTGAGATTGATGCTCCAAGGCTCCAGTATTTGTGTTTTAATGATAACCAATCTGATGTTAGTGTTGTCAAGAACCTGACTTCTTTACTCATGATCGACCTTGATACCGAGTTCAATGTTCAGTTTGGCAGCAGTCCTTTGAAAATGGAGGATCGAAGTAAGAGAGATATTATCCGTGAGTTTCTCACTGGCATTTCAAATGTAGAACATATGATGATCTCTCAGCCTACTCTTGAGGTTATACTAATACTCTTTGGTGCATATATACGAATTAAATGTTCTTTAATCCTCTATGATGTATCCATGTCTTTCTTCTTGTAGGTCCTCTACCAATATTCTAACTTAGGACGTATCCCTGAGTTCGTTAACTTGTATCGTTTGGAAGCTGCCTTCTCTAGCTCCATGTTACAATTGTTACCAGTTTTTCTTAGAAGCTGTCCAAATCTGAAGAGACTCATCTTGGTAAGACTTTGTTTAATCCTGTGATTTGGCTGAGTAAGAACCTTAAAATTTGATTGTTTTGTTTGTAGGACTTTGCTGTTTCGGCTCATCCAGAGCAAATAAAACGTAGTTATGTGCCTCCGTGTTTATCGTTGACTCTAGAATGTGTTGAGATTAGGAAACTGATTCTAAAGGAGGAAACTGGAATTAAACTAGTGAAATACTTTCTTGAAAACGCAGCAGTACTTAAGAAACTTTCTCTGAGTTTCACAGATTCTTCTTTGACCAACCAAGAGCTAGATATCTACAAGAACCTGCTTACATCCACTAATGGTTCTCTCAAATGTCAGGGTTTCGTTTATTGATATGTCGGTGTAGGGATCTTTTGTTTTGGAAATTGCAGTTAGGCCTTTGTATATATTAAACTTACTCTCTGAATCTCTTAGTGGATCGGTACATATATCAATCGTGATCTTCAACATCTAAGATATCGATGGCTTTATGGTGTTTTAAACCTGACCTTTCATGTATCTGGACGTTTATAAGAGCCTTACAACTAGTAAACGTTCCAAGTTTGTTGTTTCTCTGACATGTCTCAATATCCATTGGTTATGGAGAAGCTTGTCTCTCGTGAAGATCTGACCATGGTAAGGTCAAGGAACCTTGATATGATACTGTGGTGTTTCTGCGTGAGAACTCCCAGCCTCTAAAGAGCATTTTGTGAAAGTTCCAAACTCTCAAAGAGGAGACTGGACTCGAGTATTTGTCTAAGTGATGATCATTTTCTTATAGGAACATGGTAATGATTAAAGAATCTGAATTCCTTTTTCAAGATCTAGGTGCTGTTCGTTTACTTATCTGTCATTTCCATCTAAATAGTTAATCTAGATATACCATCCAGATGATTAACTCACATGTTGTTTGTTTTTTGGGTTATTCACTTCGATGATTTATTTAGGTGTGACCATTTTCGGTTAGTCACTTGATTTCAAATTTAGATGGATCATTTGAATGATTTTAATAAAAAATAACTAAAATGTTCGTAATATATTTAATCATATTTTTTTTATAGAGCAATTTTCATATTTACAAATACAATAGGGAAGTTAAAATTTTTTTTATCATATAATATTTTTCATTTGATTTTTCCAATTTGATTTTTTAGGAAAGCCTTTCTAAATATTCTTTTTGTCAATATTTTATGATGTTTTAAAAAGGTCTTCCAGATATTAAAATTCAACATTGTTTCATATGATTTAGAAAAACTTTTTTAATTTGATTTAAAAATGTGTTTTTTCAATTTTAGCAAAAAAATGTATTTATTTTTGTTTTTTTTTTCTTAAATAACTGTAGTGTAAAGTATCATTTATGTCATGTTTGTTTACTTATCTGTAATTTCAATCTACATGATTATGTGGATTAAAATATTTTACACATGTGTTATTTTGGACTGGATCATTTTCATCTAAATAATTCAATTTAGTCCATACAGATGAATTATTAGTTATTGCTCGTTATTATCATTAAACGAACATACTTTTCATCTCTATCCAAATACTTCATTTGAATGGAGAAATGCCTTAATGTAAGACTAAGACATTTGATCTCAATCTCACTTTGAATCGCAATAGATGAAGTAATTATGTACTTTTTTGAGAATTCAGTTGTTTTTAAAAAACTCATCCTGCGTTTCAGAGACCGAGATTGATATATCTTTAAAGAGCTTCCTTCATACACAAAGAGCTATGTAGTTGTCAGATTACCACTGATTGACACTGTCATTGAAAATCAACCTAGGAATTGTTAGAACCAGAACATCACCCAAGAGAATAAGTGATGTAGGAGTTTTGTCTATCTCAATTCTCAACCTACATTAGTCATTGTAGTATTGAGTTTATCAATCCAATAGGAAGTTGTTGAATACAAAAGAGTTGCAAACAGAAATCCTTAAGTCAAGTAAAGCATAAAGGTATTTGTTGCAAAGAAACCAAACTAACAACCTAAAATGATCAAACACAAATAGAACTCAAAGACAACACTCAACAATGATCATATAAAGCAAGAACAGAGCAAATAAACAGAGCACTTAAACAAATTAGAAATTTAACAAAGAGAAGACAAGTTCCTAGATGTGGTTATTGATTTTGGAGAATTCAAAGACTAACTAAGGTTGTTTCAAGCATCATTGATCAAACAAACAAGCTAGCAATGCTGATTTCTAGACATAGAGTTCACAAACAAGCAAGCTAAGTCCAATCTCTTGATAAGTACCCCTTTGCTAAACATCTTAACAAGAACTAACTCTCATTAGTGCTAAGACATTCAACAAGCATTAATAATCAACTTTATTCATGTTAAAATGCTCTTCAAACAGTCAATCTCTTGAGCCAAGGCCAGTAAATCTTCTACTAAACAATATCAGCATTTCATCAAACACTTGGTGGGCATAAGAGAAAACCGATATCATAGATAAGTGTGATCAAGACAAATCTAGCTTAAGAACAGATCAGTAGAGAGGAACCCATGTTATTAAGCACTAAACAAACCTTGATGAATTCCTAAATTCCCCTAATCTACCACATTTAAGAATCCTAAGCAAACTACTCACTAATATGCATGTTAACACCAAATCACAAGAGGAAAATATGCTAATCATGATTAAAAGAGAGATTAAGAAAAGATTAAAGGCAAATACAAACTTATATTAAATAAAGCAAGAAATCTGTCTTACAAACTATAAAAAAATAACTCAAGAACAGTAGAATGACATGATTTGTCGAATATCCCAGAAAAATAAGTATTTATACATAAAGAGGGAAACCCTAAAAGTAATGACAAAAGTGTAAATAAAAGCAGATTCGGACTGGAATCCTATCGGTCAGAATGTGACAGATAAGGTGATCGATAGGCTTGCTATCAGTCTAGAAGGCGACTGATAGGATGACCGAAATCCATACGGTGTACTTCTATCCGTCACTTCTTTGACCGATAGCCTGATCGATAGCTTCTCTATCGATCACTCCTTGACCGATAGGCTTCGTGTCTTGACCGATAGGGCTTGCAGAGATCGTCTGTCTTGGTTCCTCTTGCTCCATTTCAGCTCAGCTAGCTTCCTGGTCCACTCCCAAAGCTCCTCCATGCTCCTCATAGCTCCATAAGCACCAAAAAACATCCATGATGCAAAAAAATGCAAACTACATCCTAAATGCAACCTAAGACTAAAAAGAGAAGAAAATGGGACAAAAGATAAGGAAAACATGTAAAAGAGAACCAAAATATGGACTAAATGCAAGCCTAAATGATGTAAATACAAGAGATATCAACACCATCACACTTGCCTTTTGCTTGTCCTCGAGCAAATAAGAACAAATGAGAGAGTGAGGTTTGAAGGTGGGCATTCAGATTCAAAAATGCAAAGGTACAGAGATGGAATCAATGCTTAAGTGCCTAGTTGTGGGATGCAAACATAATTAGCCATACTTTAAAGAACTTAGCCATGCTCATCATGTTTCAAAATGATCTCAAATCTCAACTTAGGTAAATGCTAAAATCAATTAACTCTTTAACATTCAATTAAGCTCAAAACCATGAATCATGCTTATGCAAACCAAGTGAAGACATTTGCTTCAAAGGGTAAGGTTATGAGATTAAAGTGATCTCATTCAAGCAAAGGGTGCACAAACATAAGGGATCACTCAATGAAATGATTCTATCTTAGGCAAAATGCTAAAGGTAAAAGCACACTTATGCATGCACTTCAAAGCTTACTTCTACCCTTTTACCCAGGAAAGAATTCTATAAACTTCTAAAACCCAAAGTGAACCCCTAAGTCTATCCTTTTCCTAAACTCTACCCTTCTTCATGGCTGGGGAAACTTCTTCTTTTTGCTTGTGTGGTTGCTTCTGTTTGTTGGGACTTGCTCTTCTTTGTTGCATTGTCGCCTTCTTCACCTTTGGTGGATTGCTTTGGGTCTGATTTCTTCTTTGGATTGACCTTTCAAAACCTTTAGATTGCTGGCGCCATTCTTTCTAAACACTTAGAGTTTTTACTTCCCTTTACTTAACCACAATGCTAATCTGTTTTCCCTTTTCTACCATTTCAAAATTTTCTATTTTCTTTTAAAGCATATAAACATGAAGTTCAAACCACTTAACTCTACCCTTTTAACCCAAAACTCCTAACCTAGAATCAAGCTCAAGATGCAAGCTGCTATCCACAAGAGAGCTTATCATTGCCAGCCTTATTCCTAACAATTTTTGCCAAGACAAAATCAAAAATGATATGCAAAGGCCTCACAGCTCTCAAGATAGTGTTTAAGCTCAAAAGGAGGTTTGGTTAAGGGAGTGGATAAGCTATTTGGATCAACAAAAGTGGCAAGAAGGGAAAATATGATCCGAATATGTATATGGTAGCCATGAATTCACTTTTCAATGCATAAGACATGATAATTAAAAATCCAAATTAAGGTTCAAATTGATAGAGTTGATTTTCAGAGAACAAATGCTTTCAGTATGAGATGAGATGATCAAAATTAGCAATCCAAGCATGGTTCAGTCTTAACTTCTAGCTTTCTTATGATGCATCAAACAATTAATCACTTAAAAACTGAAATCATCTCTAAACTCTAAGCATTTTACAAGGAAGATTCATCATTATGCCATATGAAAATGCAATGTAATCTATATGCAAACACTAGACTCAATCCTATTACAATGAAATGAAACTATATGCTTTCTTTTTGGTTTGCAAAAATATGCAAAAAATTTCAAATTTTTTGATTTATTTTGTGCTTTTCTATGCCTTAGATGAATGCATGATATGCATGTGACTCAAGATGAAAGAAAATGAAAACCTAAGAAAACAGAACACAAAGTCAAACCCTAAATCTCTCCCCCACAATTAAATTACACAGTCCCTTGTGTAATGAAAGTAATGAGATGGAGAAGCAACAAAATATATTACAAAACTTAAAAAAATGCAGTGGTATAAACAATGAGTATGATGTGGTACTTTTTAGTAAGTGGAGTGGTGGGAGGATTCAGATGTCTGTGGAGACTTGCTAGCTCTCCTCTTGTTTCTCCTCTCTTGGCTTTGTGAAGATGCTGCGGCTTCTTGAGGTGGAGGAACCCAGCTTGACCATATATTTTCAGCTTGAGAAGAATCACCTTGAGTACCCCATTGCCATGTTGGTTGAACTTCAGAAGGGGTGGAAGCTGGGGCTTCCCATGCTGATGGTGTATGTGTCCTTGGCTCATAAGATGAAGCCCTTGGTTGTGCCCATGTTCCCCATTGATCACTTGGTTGTGCATGAAAAGAATGTCTTCCTTGAGGGTTCCAAACAGCTTCCTTTTCTTCAGTAGGATCAGTTTGTGGCATTGCTCTTCATGGTGAGAAGTGTACTCATGAGTGTGGCTCTGATGGGAAGCTTCTCCTGATGTAGCTTTGTTCTTTTTGAACTTCCCCTTGACCATCTTCACCAGCTTCTTGATGGCTTTGTCTTGCCACTTACACCATTTCTGAAGGGTGTTGATATGCTTATGAGCAACTTTCAGAGAGCCCTCTTGGCTTGGGACTTCATAAGGCTTGAAGTGGAACCGTTCAGAGTTGTAGTTCAGCACCTCATCTTCATCAAGCTCTTCTTCTTGGGTTTCTCCTTGGCCTTCAGCGTCACCAGTAGCATCTTCTTGTACCTCTTCTTCACTCTCTTCTGCACCTTCTTCTGGTTCTACTTCCTCACTATCTTCTCCTATCTCTTCTGGAACAGGGCCTCCATGGTAAAGCTGACTCTCATCCTTGCAGAAACCAATGTTGCTCCTGATGGTGATGGATGTGTGCTGTGGGTTTGGGAGGAGAAATCTCGCTGGCTCTCTGAAGTCCTTGATAAAGTTATAGTTATGCTTGCCATTGATGCTCTTCTCAAGGAAGTGGCTCTTCCTAAGATAATCTATATCTATCCATAATGGCTCCAAAAAATCTTCTTCATGTTTCTCAAGGTCTACACCACTGGCCATGAGAATAGCAGTCACAACCCCTCTAATGTGGAGCTGTGGGTTCTTCTCTCTCTTCCCTTTACTTAAGACCCAGCTCCTGTAAGACTGGAGCTGCT